AGACCACTGAGCCATCTCACCAGCCCCAGAAAATGTAATTTTAAATGACTGTTTTGCTATTCAAAGTCAAGGCAAAAAAAAAAAAAAAAAAAAAAAAAGAAAGTAAAGGTCCAAATAGAGAACTTTATTACTTTAAAACACAAATCATCCCTGGCAAGCGCAAGGGCCTGAGTTCAATCCCCGGCTCCGCAAAAAAAAAAAAAAAAAAAAAAAAACAAAACCAAGGTAGGAATGCACGCTTCAATTTGGAGCTTTGTGAAGATCACTTAAGATGAAGTTGAGATTCTTCTCTCTAGTAGTTCAGCATACGAATTTCTTTTGGCATAATTCCCAAACTCCTTAATTCCTACAAATAATAAAATCTATTTCAAAACAAGACAGATTACTGTGAGGACCTAGGGCGATACTTCCCTTCCAATATCACAGACTACTGAGCCAGACTATATATACAGTTTAGAAAAAGGAACAGTTTTCTAAATAAACGCGCTTTCAGTGGGCGGTCTCAGTAGCAGCGGGCGGATGAAACACATTTTAAAATGTCACGTTGGATGGTTGCATTACCAATCCATGGACTTAAGCCTTAAAAGTTTAAGCTACGAGATTATTCACAAAACTGTTTTGCTTCACTTATAATTTTTTTATTAATATTGGTTACATTTAAAGTGCACTGCACCTATTCACAAATGCTTCTGAAAGATAATCAGTGAAATAAAATAGAAACTTAGAAAATCACAGGCTCATCACCTGTGATATATCGCCTTTAAATATAATTCAATTTACAATAATTGTAGGAATAGGGAGAACACAGAAAGAGGAGACAGGGCTATTCCACACCGGAAAACACAGCTACTACTGTAATGAAAAAATAATTTATTAAATGAATATAATACTGGGAGTAAAATACATTATAAAAGTAAAAAAGTAAATTCTAAATATAAATAATAGTGGTTTACCTAATTAACAGTTTCCCTCCATTCAAAACTTTAAATATAATATTTAAAACTGTGTCTTTAAAGTATATGGTTCCCTTCAAAACAGTCATGTAGCACTATAATATCTGGAACTTGGCAAAGACCATTTTATTTTATTATTAATGTCAATGTGAAGTGATTGTTCACCATAAACTTTTTCAAACAGTCTAGGATAATTTAAAAATGAATGAGCACATTAGTTTATTATATCTATTTCTGCCTCTAAAAATAATAAACAAATTTCTAATATACTTTGTCGAAAATGGTCCTAGCTAAAACACCTGTGCATTATGACGCAGGTTTAAAATTTGGGTACTTTGGCATAAAGTCGTTTCCTTTTAAGAATAAAGGTGACCAATAGCCATTGGGTGCGTTGATTTATATCAGCAGAATTTTAAACAACCACAACTTAGTATGCACAGTAAGATACTGGTACACTTTTAGATAATGAAGGAAAACCCCCCAAGATTGCTATTCTATTTCCCCAGTAAGATTCTCCCAGGTTTTATAAAGTCTACGCTGTTCAGGACACCACCTAGGCTTTCAAAATGCTAGCACTGCAATACATATTAACAGCAATATGCAAAACAGTAGACACAGAGAATCAACAAGTAACTTCATACTATGAAAATGAAACAAGGCACTTTTGATACATATGCAGAGTAGAGACAAGCATAAACATTCTTCACCAAGTTGACTCATACCCTAAAGATGTTTGTAAAAAGTGAAATAGTAAAGGCACTACATAATTCTTCCAGTTCACTACCCTTACTAAAGAAATTCACCAATTAAACTTGGCACAAAATAGTTTAATTATAAAGTGCATCGCTTGGCTAAATATATTAAAAAGAAAAAAAGCCACGCCACATATAACAGCATTTTCATATGTACAGAAATAAAAATGCAACACCAAGTGTCAAGCTACTTAGGAATTTTGTAGTGTATATGGCTTTTTATTGTGTCTTCTTATATTAACTCCTTACTTCCTTAATATCTATATTTTGAAAAGAATATGCCTTGATTAGCAAAAAAGAGGTAGTATTCTGAAAGAAGCAAACTCACTGAAACTGCAGGTAGAAATCTAAAATGTAGAAAATAATGTGCTATAGCCTTAATAAACTAGGATACTTACAGTATCTTGGTATTATGAATTGGAATTTAAAATCAAGGCTATTTTGCCACTTCAGCTGTATGGTGACAGCTCTTTAAAATAGTTTTGCTTTGGTACTAAAAACCATCTTAATCTTTTATATATTAACATTTGAATAAGTTATTTTTATTTAGAGATAATAAACATGTCAACATTTAATACTCATTTCATCTTTATCTTTTGTTTTCATCTTTACCTTTAATACAATGTTCACTGATTTAAATCGTTAATGAAAATATGTCATGTCAGAGACACAAAGAAGTATCACACAGATACAACATGCAATTAATTTCCATTTGACTAATATAACTGCAATTTAAAGCAGGTGCAAACACAGCCACACAGACTAGTCTGGAGCAACATTATAGGCAAAACACCATCATAATTTATGCACAATATTTAAGAACATGGGCACTGGTAACAGAATTCTAACTACATTCTTTTTTCAGTGTACTAAATAGAAAGCTGGATAAGAGACAAAAGCAGCAGTGAGTATATTTACAACTCCAATAACTTAAAACAATTTTATGTAAACTTTATACATTTAAATTCTCATTCTCTTCTGTAACTGTTTCAGTCTTTTTATGTTTAAATGACATCTGCCACTCTATTCTAAACTTGGTGACGTGTTGCATCAGTGTTCTTCAGCCTTATATGCCACTTCAGCCACTTCTATTTCTGATACAGCATTTTCAGGGTCACCAAAACTGAAGTGTGGATTATCAGCTCTGTAAAGGAAGGGAAATGCATCAGTGAAGCACAGGATGCACGCTACTTCATTATTTAGTATTATTTCGAAAATCTTTTACCCATGGAAAGATTGTTTAAATATTTAGCGTATAAGTAATTGTATATTCCATCAGAAATGTAGTATTTTTAAATTGTACATGTCAAATAATATTTTGGAGAATTTTTTTTTTTTTTTCTTTTAAATGTATTTGCTACAGGGTCTCACTATGCAGCTTGGACTCGCAGTGGTCCTCCTGTTTTCGGCCTCCCTAGTGCTGGGATTACAGGTGTGTGCCACCATGTGGGACTCGGTGGCTGGCTCAGCGCACCTGCCTGGGTGCGGGACTGGCATGGTATGTGGTCTTGGGGATCGAACCCTGGTCCTTGAGCTTGCCTAAGCAGGTGCTTAGTCTGCTGAGCTATCTCTCCAGGCCAATATTCTGGAGATTTTTTTAAAACTCAGGTCTCCAAATTACCACCTACCAATAAAAAATTTAGTGTGCAATTACATTTACCAATACAAAACTGTTTTCATAATTACAGCTTGAACGTTACCACTGAAGTATTAGCAATCTAGGATTATCCTACATTGATGTGCAATAATAAACAGTTCCATGTGCTTTAGGTACATTATTTTTTCAACATTCCTATGAGATAGCAGGGCAGGTGCTATTACGCTATTCTACTTTTTGAATAGAAAATGGGTGATATTGGGGAAGATCAATTTGTTCAGATTCACAAAACTAATGAATTAACATTGTCAGAGCCCAGTTAATTCAGACACTGCTTTATAATTTTACAGGCTGATGCTGAAGACACCTATTTAGAGAGAACCTAGCTTACAGTCTTTCTCCAATAGTTCAGCTTGATATAATAACAGTGAATTCATTAAAAAAAATACAGAGCATCAGAATAGTTTTCTTGCAAGCATTAAATGATTAGACTACAACGAAGTTACTATCATGTACCTGGATTCTTCATCTAAGACATCTTGGTCAATCGTAAGTGCAGAGGACTGCAGCCTTAGGATCTGTCCATTTTCTGCTTCGGTCACATAAAATGATTCTTCAGGTTCTAGAGACAATGTTCTAAAAGTAGGTTTAAAAGCAAAAGGTTATTTTCCATAAATACAATGGGCAGGGGTTCAGGTCTGTGAATACATGTAGTGTGTGCAGTGTTTGGGTATTAAGTTGTAGAGCTAGCCAACAGGGAAATTCGTAGCTATAATTAATTTAAAATGAGCTTTAGCACCAATTCAATGTACACTAATACCCAGACCATAACTTTCACACATGAAAAGTTGGCATACATGTCTAGAAACAAAAATGCCACTTGGATGCATTACAACAGTTATTCTTTATGCTGAACAACGAAATTATTTTTCTATTTCTCATCCTTCAAATGTGCAGCCTTCTAAATTAAATCAAAAGACAATTGTTCCAATCTACCAGGCCAAGATCTTACAACTTTCAGACTGAGACATATGGTACACCATATTGAAATATCAAGGGCACAGCCCAGAGCCCTGGGAGTTGAACTAGTAAGACTACAAATGTACGCACCACAACCTACCTGATTCTGTTCTCCAGGGCGTCTATGTGAAGTTGCTTCTCACTAAGCAGTTTCTTCAGGGATTCTACCTCCTTCTGCTTTTCAAGTAGCTCTCTCTGTAAATGGTAGTTTGTTTCTTCTAAGGTTTCGCAGAAAGCCTTAAACACACACACCCCAGACACACATAAAGAATACAATTACTTACTGACAAGAAGTTTCTTTCTCAAGAGCATTACTGAGCATAAAATAATACGGATACAATCCCAATGATTTGTTCTGTGTACTGTTTTTAGATCACTGCTAGCTTGGCACTTCAGTTCCTATGTACCATAGGGACTTATAATGACAAGCTCCTTTTCTTCATAATTATTATAGCAGCAAGACAATAAGCCTGAAAGTAGATAAGTATTGTAGTGAAAATTTAAATATTTGAGGACACTATGAACCATTTCACATAAATGTATTTTAAAATACAGGCAGTTTTGCCAATTTTCAGAAAGAGATAAATTATCAAAATTGATCGTCCCCCAAACAGACAATATGAATGCAGTATTGTTACTGGAGAAGCAAGAACAATTGTTAAAAAATTGAGAACTGAAAGCCAGCTAAAGGAAATACCAGACTCAGGCTTACGTGCACGTTCTAGGGAACACTCAGGAGCTAGCAACACCCCTGTGATCCTACTCAAACAGTTCTGGAGAGTGAAAACTTAAAGACAATTGGTCTCATCTTGACAGAAGTTTCAATGATGGCAGCAACAGAAAATTACAGACCCAAAAATTCAAAGTAAAATAACTATAATTCATATTTAGCAATTAAAAATGTTGAATTTCTCAATCTCATAAATCAGTAATTTGCTATCATTTGAAATTTGATGAATGCAATTTACCACTAAAATCAAAGAAACAAATCAAGGATCATCTTTATGAAGGTGAGCAAAAGCATTACTAACATATAGACTTAGCGAACTGGAAATAGATGACTTCCTTAACCTGAACACAAAACCAAGGACAATAGAAAACCTACCACCAGCTTACAGGTAACACCACTTCTAACTGACATGCAGGATCATCTGCTTTGAAGTTAGGGAGAGAGGAAAAGGAGGTCCATGGTAGTGGCTTTAGTTTCCCTCCAAAGATTCAAACTAGCTCAGTACTACAGGAAAGTGAAGTGACAGACATTAGGAATTAGAAAGGAAAAACAAGTAACGATGAATATTGCAAGGTGTATGTCTCACTATACGGAAAATCCAAAAGAATCTACAGACTAAGGAGAGATTTCAGCAAAGATGGAACGTAAAAACATAAATACACAAAATCAATCATACAAAAGTAATACTAGCTACTTGTTACCAATTCATGCTGGCACTGCCAAAACCAGTGAGTATCAAATTAATTTTTCCCCAAAGAAGAATTAGGATAACTTGTGAACGCAACTCCGAAACTCCAAATTTTATTGGGATAATATTAAGGAGATTATTTTATAACACAGAACCTTAAAACTAAAGACAGAAAAACAATTAATTGCGTAAGTGTGATGACGCATTTTTCCTGTGGGGTTGGTAGGTGACTCTGCCAAGTTCTAGCGAGCAGGATGGGGCTTCAGTGAGTGCTCAAGGCCGAAATGGTTTTCCTCACCAGGATTCTACAGGAATCAGTATGATGAGTTCTGGTGCCAGTAAGTGCTGATATATAACTATAATTTAAAATTCTGAAGATGAATAAGGCAGAGAACCCTTTCTCTACTAGACACTACTACTGGCAGAAGAACAGAGAAACAGGCTGCAACAGAGCTGACCCCAAATAGCCAAGGAGCAAATGTTTATAGCCAAGGAAGAGCTCCTCACTAGTAAAGAAAGGATGCACATCTCAGTAAATGATGGTGGGATGAATAACCATCGACACAAAAAGGCTAACTTAATTAAAGAACCTGATGTGAGGAGACAAAGGTTAAGCCTAGTAGGGAAAAAATTTAGAAGAGTATCTTTATGTCCTGAGTTTGTAGGGAAGAATAAAAATCACAGAAAACATGTCAAAGCATGCAAACAGGAAATTCATAAAAGAGAAGTCCTAGGGCTACTTTACGTCCCTAGCTTTAATCTTCACTTTTGGTACAGAAATGAGGGGAAAGAAACAACTGCCTTGAATAAGGTGCTGAGAGAAGCAGGTTAATGGGAGATTTAATAGAGTTTTGAAATTGCATTATTCTTTGAATAAATTTAGTTTCATACTCTAAGGTATATGAATTAATAAGTCATTTTGGAATTTTTGTTGAAATGAGAAGGTGCTTAAGAAAATCTCATGCTGTAATCCCAGTACTCAGAAGGCTGAGGCAGAAGGATCACTGAGTTTGAGGCCAGCCTGGGCTATAAAGTGAGTTTGAGATCAGCTTGAACTGTCTAATGGAATCCTGTCTCAAAAACCAAAATCCAAAAACAAAAAGAAATCTCATACTACTGAGATACATATCTGATATATTCACTGTATGTTTTACTTTGAAGAACACCTAGCACAGAATTTCTTTATGTTTATTATTTAAAATATTATTTCCAAGTACAGTTTTGGAAAATGCTAAGGAAGATTCTGGGAGATATACTTTGTATCACTTTGCTAAGTATATAAATTTAATACATTATATAAATTTAATTTGATGATTACTTAAATCAGATGTTCCAAACTAAGGGTAACTTTAAACTCACTTTGCAATTGACTTACCCAGGCCCCAAAAGCCTATAGTGTAGATGCTGACAAACCCTACTTAAACCAATTTCTACATTTTCCCTACCCAGTCATAATGCCTAACTTGCACTAGCTAGCATATATACTGAACTAAAAGATACTGAAAATATAATCATTTCTTAAAAAAGGGTGAATCCAATAATTATTTTGCAGGAAAAAATGATACTACATTTAAAGGAATGAAGTCATGGAATATATGACATGGAAAAGGAATGATAATGATAATTACTCCTTAACCTAGTGTATATGTAAAATAGAATGTAAATTCACTAAAGAAAATATAGACCAGAGGCTGGGGAGATAGGTTGGTGGTTTAAGCACCTGCCTGGGCAAGTGCAAGGTACCAGGCTCACTATGGGTCTGTATGGCATCCCGTGTCAGGCATGGTGTTGCATGCCTATAATCCCAGTGCTGGGGAGGCTGACACAGGAGGATCACTATGAGTCTGAGCTGCGTAGCAAGACCCTGTAGCTAATAAATAAATGAATGATAAAAACTTTATAGATAGGAGTAATAAAATGACCAGAAGCATGACCACAAATAGCTAGGAAGAAGAGATTTAGTTCAGGCAAATTAAATAAGCAGACACAAATAAGAATAGTAATAACCAGTCTGAATCAAGAGTTGCCAACATGTATTACCTAAGATGTCTAGTATTCAATGAAAAATGAGACATGAAATAAGGTAAATCTAAGCATATTCAGGGAAAAAAAAGTAGTTAACAAAGGTCATCTCAGAATATCCTCATGTTAAGTATACTGGATAGTAATTCTTAAAGCAGGTGTTATATATACTAAATGAGCTAAAATAATGGCATTAGAGACTATATAGTAGACATGCTCAATACAGAGAATGATACAAACAAGCAAATGAAAGTCTTGATTTGAAAAATACAGGGGAGATGAAAAATTAACAAGGTTTCCAGATCTGACATAGTAGGAAAACAAATCTAAGAACCTGAAGACAGACCAACAGAAATTATCTAATCTCCTGAAAAGAGGAAAGAATGAAGATAAATGAGGATCATTCAGAGGTATGTGGCACAACATGAAGTGCACAAGTTTCCAAGTAATGGGAGTCCCAGAGGTGGTGAGAGAAGGGGAAGGAGAAAATACGTGAAGACACAATGGCTCCCAAATTTCCACGTCTGACGCATTGCATTCATCTACCATGTCCAAGGAGCTCAAAGCCCAAGTCTGATAAACACAGAGATTTATACCTTGATAGAGCATAATCAAACTGTTGAAAGTAAAACAGAGGACCCTGAAAGAAGCAGGGCAAACCACTCACGGAAGCAACCATACAATTACAGACTGACTTTCCCTCAGGACCAACTGATGCCGGAAGGCAGTGCAATGACACACGCAAAGAACTGAAGAAAAACACCTGTCTACGACGCTCCCACTCGGAAATGAAGGTGGACGATATCGAATGTTTGTTGAAACTGAAACAATCCTGTAACTAGTAGGAAAGTAATATGGTGTATCTACTTTAGAAAAGTTTATCAACTTTTTAAAAGGCAAAACATAAACTTGCTATATGATTAAACACTTCTCCTGGGGATTAACGCAATAAAATGAAAACATCTGCCTACTTCTATGACACTATTCACAGCATTATTCACAATAGCATAAAACTGAAAATATGCAAATTTCTCAGCTGGTAACTAGATAATGTGGTATATGTACAGATAGACAATGGAAAACCATTTTGTAGTAAAACAGCAATAAAGGCAATAAAACACCCTCAATGAGTGATGCTAGCCGAGATTATAAATACCACGTGTTAGTTTCATATTTATATCATTATCTACACAGCCACATATAACCAACCCTACGTACATGAAAGACAAATCTGCAGAGAACCCAAGGTCAGAGGCAGCATCGGGCTGAGAGTGCAGACTGATGGACTACACAATGGCCTCTAGAAATTTTGTTAAGATGATGAGTTTTCTAAAGCAGGATAATGATGGTGGTGAAACAGCCTACAGACGTACTAAAATATACACTTCCAACAGAATAAAATAACAAATGGCTTAGTGTAAGGGAAGAAGATTTTACTTCACCAAGGCTGTTTCTTTTCTTTTCTTTTCTTTTTTTTTTTAAAGCTACGGCAGTCATGCCAACATGAAGAACTGTCTCAGTTTAACTGAAAAGCACTATAAACCTACCAGCTAAATCTTTGTCGCTGAAATACCATTGGGGGGGGGGGGAAACTTACGTAAAACCCAAAGCAACCTATTACTAACAAATCTATTTGTGAATCTAGCCCATTGCTCCAAGAAACAGGTCGCTTTACCACGTCAATTACGGTAATATGAGCAGTAGCAAACACAGCTGAACTGATAACAGAAAGGCACTTCACACCCAAGGAGAAGCTTTATGTGTGGCTTTAATTGTAGGTTCACGGATACTTACAAGAAAGAAAACTCAACACACAAACAATACTATTATATGAAGTGAAAGTCAATTACAGAAAATTTTTATTTTTTTGAAACAGTAAAAAAAAAAAAAAAGGGACTTTATTTTAGATCTTTTACATGGCACAAATAACTTCTACATATTTTAAAGAAACCTTTGGCTGAAATATTAAATGCTTTCTGTGCAAAACTATTGTAGCCTGAAATAATACTCTGCTGTTTGCTGAGCCATCTGAGGAACAATGCAGTTACTGTGCTGTATGAGTTCCTCTTTCACGTGAGACATAAATGGCACTTACCCTGCTTTCTTCTAGGCTATCGAATGGGCCTGGCGGATCATCCAGGCAAAGAAATTCTCTCACCGCAGTGCTTTTCAAAGGAAGAAAGAAAGAAAGAAAGAAAGAAAGAAAGAAAGAAAGACAACAATTAGTGGGTACAAGTTAAGCTTACAAAAGATAGCAAACAGTAGAAGCTAGGAAGCCCTTCTAAGGGGTAACTAAGTAAGTTGATTTTGATGATATACCAAAATAAGTAATTTAGTTTGTCTTTATACAACAAGTAAATACAAATATTAAACTATAGAAGATGCAAAGATCTTTGTATTTTCTAAGATCTTATAAAAATAAAAATCACAACTTTATTATTACATACTAACTCCAGAAACAAAATATAACTAAGAATAGTACATGAGACCAATATAAGTAGTGAATAGCTTTCTTTTTTTTTTTCTTTCTGTATTTAGGACAGGGTCGGCAGGGTCTCACAATGTAGATCGGACTTAATAGTGATTCTCCTGTTTTCAGCCTCCCAAGTGCTGGGATTACAAGCATGAGCCACCTCACCACCACGGGCAGGGCCAGCACGGCACAACAGGGATTGAACCCTGGTGACTGAGCTCTGCCTAAGCAGGCGCTTTAGTCCGTTGAGCTACCAGGCCAGCCCATGAATAGATTCATTATAACTTTCAAAGAGATATTAGTCTCAGCTAGTCTACCAAAGTCATTATTTTATTATGAATACATATAACTTTCAATTCATACTCCCATTTCTTTCTTTTTCAGTTGATGCTTCAAAACTAAATGAAAGCACCGGGCACTGTGGCACACTCCTGTAGTCCTAGCACTTGGGAGGCTGAGATAGGACGGTTACTATGAGTTGGAGGCCAGCTTGGGCTATGCAGTGATTTCAGACCAGCCTGAACTACATATTGAGCCCCTGCCTTAAAAAAAAAAAAGTAAGGGAAAGTATTTGAGGCAACTTAAAGACTGTCCTTGCCATTTTACTTAAATATTTTAAGCGAAATATTTTTTTTTTTGCAAAATAATATTTAAGCAATCATAATTTACTTAAATATTTTTGTCAGATAGTTTAAGAGAAAAAAAAATTGAATCCCCCCAAATCTAACTTGCTTATGAGTCATTAAAATTTTCAAAGTAACAAAATATTATTCTTATGTTTATAATTTGCAGCCAGAAACAGATTATGAAGACAGAGTAAGAATGTAGATAACCAAACTTCCTCATCACAAAAGCCATTTCTAAGAAGCACCTGTGGAGTAAGATAGTCTGTGTATACAGAAATGTAGCTGTTTTCATTTGTAAAGGGTACAAATGTGACTGGCGTACTTACTACATAAAGGAGATGTTAACCCATGTTCAGGGAGTGAGCTTTTGGGCTCAGGAGGGGCCAGACAGGTGGAGGATGACAGAGCATCAAAGAGATGAATAGATTTTTTTAAAAAAATTATTTTATTTTTATTAATTTACTTATTATTTTATTATTATTATTATTATTATTATTATTATTATTTTTGGTGGAACCGGGGCTTGAACTCAGGCCCTTGCACTTGCCAGGGAAGCGCTTATTCCACTGAGCCATCTCCTCAGCCCAACAGATTTTTAATGGAATCCTTCTAAAAGAAATCCAATATGAAATAATACAGAGAAATAATGTTAACAAAATAATGCAGGACATGCCAAAGGCAGAACAAAGAAATTACTGGTAAAGTGGCTTCTGGAAAAGCAAACTTTGGCTTACAGACTGATAATATAGGTTACAAAAGAAAAAAAGGATGCATGTTCAGGGCAACAGAAAACATCTGAGTATTTGTAATTATGCAGTAAGAGGCTGAAGAGATCTTGAATGTGATCTGGATCTATCCATAGTATGTTTTCTGTCCCTTTTATAACTTCAGCCAAGTACACACCGTACCTAAATATCACCAAAAGTAATGGGACAGTATTTCTGGTTTTTATATAAACCAGTGCATATATGAGTAACTTTATATACTATTAAACATATGCTAACAACAGTAGCCTATTTTCCATAAGTTATATGTTTAAGAATTAATAGCATTACAGAATTATACTAACATTTTCAAAGTACATTGTTATACTAGGGGCTTTCACATACCTTATTTTATTCAATTTTCATAGAAATCATGTAAAGTTAGGATAAAAATTTTATCTCCATATTACAAATGATGCCAAATTTCAGACGCAAAAATAAGTTGTTTTGCTATCAAAAGAATACGTGACCTTAAACGTTAAAATTTCTTTATGTTTTGGTTCATTCATATTCTTTTCCTTCTAGGCCATTTTTCTCTAAACACAACTTGTTCATTTACCTCTTTAATCACTCATGGCCTTTAGGATACTCAATTAGTTTAACTGCACAACAGAGCAGACACAGCACACAGTCTTCTTCTACAGACAGAATTACGTGCACCATTATTTCCACTGGAGTACCTATCTATAGATGGAAAAGAGCCACGGGAGATGAACTGACAGTGCGGATGAAACACGCAAACAGCAGCATTTAAAACGGAACAGAAAATGCTAAGAAGTGCACGGAAGGACCTTAATGCTCTCAGTAGATGACAACCTAACGTGAAACATTTTTCTAACAGTTTTATAGCCATATTTCTTCTACTTTAATGGATTTTTTTTTTCCCTGTTCACTACTTACTGGACTACTATAGCTAGAAAGGAAAAAGGTGTAAAGTAGCATACGTCTTTATATCTTCAGTTTACAGCAGGAATTTAATGAAGATCAAGATGATACCAGCTGAGTAGCCTGTTGAAGGAATCTATTTTTTTCTTGTTTTTTTTTTTGAAATGTTCTATGGCTCATGAGCATTCTTAAAATCTAGCAGATTCCCTGAGTTTTTTCTAATATAGCAGTTTCTAGGTTAGACTCCATGCCTTACTTTAAAAAATTCTGGCTTAAGGACAAAATTTGAAACTGGCTACAGTTTAACTTATAGCACCCTTTTCGGTGGCTCACTACATCTCGTCTGCTTTAGCGAGCTCAGGTGACACTGACCGCAGCACCCTCCCACCGCATTCCCACCCAAGGCAGAGGACAGGCCAAACAAAATCCCCAAGACAGGTGGGGTCTGAGAAAGCAGAAATCCCAATAACATTTTCTTCCCTAGGGAAGGAGGTCTTTACTGCTGCTTGGGAATCACTGACTAGAGAACTTTAATTATGTTAAATAAATATTTATTGATGGTTTATGGGTGCCATGGTTCTGCTCAGTAATTTTCTAGTTATTATTAATGCATGACTTATAAATAAATCAAGTGAATTCTAGTAATAAACAAACACCAAAATATCT